AAATTTCAAGATTTTTTACGTTTTTCGTAATTTCGTGGAAATTTCAAGATTTTTTACATTTATCGTAAATGTGACGAAATTTCAAGATTTTTCACATTTTTACTTTTTTCATCATTATTTACCTTTTTGACGCAATTTCAAGATTTTACACTTTTTTTGTTAATTTGATGAAATTTCAAGATTTTTCACATTTTTCATCTTTTTTTCGAAATTTCATAATTTTTCACTTTTTTCATTATTTTTTATAATTTTGTTGAAATTTCAAGATTTTTTACTTTTTTTAGTAAGGTTCAAAAAAATATATTAGCAATAATGGCATTTGGACAAAACGACCTAAAAAGCGAAAAATCATAAGACATCCAATAATTTACGAAAAAAAGTGAAAAATCTTGAAACTTCGACGAAATGATGAATAATGATGAAAAATGTGAAAAATCTTGAAATTTCGACAAAACGATGAAAAATGAGAAACAAGTGAAAAATCTTGATATTTCGAGAAAATGATGAAAAGTGAAAAATCATGAAATTTCGTGAAAATGACAAAAAAAGTGAAAAATCTTGAAATTTCATCAAATTTACGAAAAATGTGAAAAATCTTGAAATTTCGACAAAATTACGAAAAAAGTAAAAAATCTTGAATTTCCGACAAAATGATGAAAAAAGTGAAAAATCATGAAATATCGACAAAATGATGAAAAATGATGACAAAAGTGAAAAATGTGAAAAATCTGGAAATTTCATCAAATTTACGAAAAATTGATAATTCATGAAATTTCGACAAAATGTTGAAAAATGTGAAAAATCTTGAAATTTCGACCAAATTACGAAAAATATGAAAAATCTGGAAATTTCATCAAATTTACGAAAAATGTGAAAAATCTTGAAATTACGAAAAATGTGAAAAATCATGAAATATCGACAAAATGATGAAAAATGATGACAAAATTGAAAAATCTGGAAATTTCGACGAATTGATGAAAAATGAGAAATAAGTGAAAAATCTTGAAATTTCGTCAATATTAAGAAAAATGTGAAAAATCTTGAAATTTCGACGAAATGATGAAAAAAGATGAAAAAAGTAAAAAATTTGAAAAATCTGGAAATTTCGACCCAATGAAAAATGAGAAAAAAATGAAAAATCTTGCTATTTCGACGAAATGATGAAAAATGATGAAAACGGTAAAAAAGTTTGAAAATATGGATATTTCGATAAAATAATGAAAAATGTTTGGGTGAGATTCCAAAAATGTCTAAGTCCATGCGCATGGCTTTTGTGAGGTTCAAAAAATGTCAAAGTCCATGCGCATTCTATATTCTGTTCTACGTTTGAATAGTTGCCACGAATTGAAACGAATTAAAAAATGAGTTCTAACGAAAAAAATTTAAGAACGCCGACCTCCGGGGGTTGATCGGAAGGGTGGAAAATCGAGTTTCAGAGATCGCAACGGATAAGAGCTTTTTTCACGGGGAAAGAGTCGTTAATCGAAAAAAAGTCAATCCGTGCAGCCCCCCTGAATATTGGCCTGCTATACAAGGGTACCCTTGAAAATTCGAAAATCGGATAATTAGGGGATGAAGTGCCAAATTCCTCAAAGAAGTCAATGCGGATTGCTTTTTATTTATTATAAACTAATAACCTCCAATGAACGGTGGAAGTGAAAATTAGTCCGTGCAGCCTATCTGAATACTGGCCTGCTATACAAGGGTACCCTTGGAAAATCGAAAATCGGATAATTAGGGGGTGAAGAGACACTTTTCTCGAAAAAAAAAAAAGGCCATGCGTATTGCTCCCGATTTATTATAAACTAATAACCTCAAACGAACGGTGAAAATGAACATTAGTTTTACAAATTTCTTTGTAGCCGAATACTACTCCCCACTTGGTCCCGTGTCGTTTTCGCGCTTTTGTAAATATATATTAATTGCTTATGATGGAGGATTCGATTATGTGTTTGGATTTCAAAATCTGCCATTATTGGAGTTACATCTTGAATCTGTATTTTGAGTTCTGGATGCAGTAGAAGATGCTCAGAAGAAAGAAATATCGAATCATTTATTATAGAAGATATCAAATTTTTTTTCCAAAAAGAAGATAACCTTGACGCGTACTTACCTAAGATTAACCATATAAATCAATAATTTTATACAAACTTTTCCTGAGATACATAAATAATTATTGACGTCGTTTAATTTTTTTTTTTTGAGCGTGTAGTTCTATCATTGGCCCATTCAAATATAGATTTACCATGGTGGTTTTGTAGAAGAACTGTTGTTGATGTCTGTTCGCTACAACTGATGTTTTGTCAATAGATTACGGTACTGTAGTGAATGTACCGAATGAATCAATTGCCAGATACCTATCGAGTGCTGTATCTGTAAAACCACTGTCTTTTACTTTGTATTTTTTAATATTTCACCACTCGATTCAGAGAAAAAGTAAATCAAAAGTAGTTTTTATAAAGAAAAAATTAGTAAAGAAAGATTTTGTTAGTGTTTGCAAAGAATGGCCGAAAGATACTATCGAGTTTATAAAAAGACTTAGATGAAAGTTCAAGGAAATAATATCTTGAAATTTTAACACATTCTAATATAGTAAATAGAATTTTATGTTTGATAGTAAATAGAGATTTATGTTTGATTATAGATAAGAAAAACTTATCTTTAACAAAATTTCTACTTGGAAGCAATATAGGAGTTGAATGGAATGGTGATATTATTATACAGTAACATATTGAGAAAATATATTATTTATATTATGTTTTATAGTACTTATGCAGGCTATAAAAAATTCCAAACTTATTGAAGACCTTTATAATTTGTTACTTTAATAACTAATATTAAAAAACCAAAGTAGGTATAACGTTACTTTTAACGTTTAGTTTATAATCATAAGTATGTATGTGGTGTCCTCGTATTCATAACCTAAATATATATATATATATATATAAATGGGCAATCACTTTCTTCCAGCAATAATGTCAGTATTAATCAATCCACTAATTCCGAAAGTGATAATCATTTTCCAAAAGCTTCTAAAAGTATAGGAATTTTAAAGAAAGTAAAAATACAAGGTGATTTATCTCCAACTATTTTTATTTCTAGAACATGGACAAATGAAATCGTTTCTTTTATTACTAATTTCGTGGAAAACTTGTATACATATATTGAATTATTTAATGGAGTGTTCAAGGATGAATGCTAATTCATCGTTCTGACAAGAAAAAATATAATGTTTTAGGTAAACACGTTCAAAAAATATCTATCACATGCATAATCTTAATTTTTGTAACAAAATTTACATATATTTTCTTTTAATCTAGGAGCCATAAAGAATTATAAAATACAAAAGACAATGATATTTTGTTTAGATAGTATAGAAGCTTCTGAAGTAAATAAATTGCTCGTGGCTAATGGTGTGAAGATTGTATTGGTTTATGATGAAATGAAAATTCCTTGTATGGACCTTTTAATACTGTCGTTCTTAATAAAATTTTTATACAGCTATATTTGTAGTTTAGTCATTTTTATGCAGACTGCTAATTCATACTTTAAAGGCAATTTCGATATTTTGATAGTAAGACATTGGTATGTCTAATAAGACATTTATATACAATTGTGACTAACTCTCGTAATGTTTCTTGAGCTAGTTAGCATTCTTTATCAATGGTGCCAGCATGGTCTTGTTCTCGAAGAATTGGAATTTCAAAATTTTGCCTAAATTCCTGTGAAACAAGTTTTACAATAAATTTTATATGCAAAACGTGTCAATGAAAATGCTTTACCATTGAGCTGTATCCAATAATCCTGCATTAACAAAATAAACTAGAGAGAAATATTTTAATAAATTATTCTGCATAGGAGTTCCACTCGATAAAACTCTAGTTTTAGACTTTGAAAAACACTAATGCGTATGAAGTGCGTTTTTAAGCATAGGCTAATGTTTCGGTTTAACTAACATTAAAAAAAAATGCATATTACTCGATCGTCGATCTTTAAGCTTTCCTGCTCTGTCACCTTCGGAGGTATGTAAACAACAAGAGCATTGAGTTCGTCTGGATCACAAAGAGGAGCCTCCTAAGTCCTAGGACGAGCAAAGTGTAAACCAAGAGTTAACCTAGAATGATCATAGCCAGGGATTAGAATTTTAAATGGTTTACCGAGCCATTTTCTATCTCTGTCTTTCCACGATAGAATAAAAAATAAGAATAATAAATTAACATCTTCCGTACAACCAAGAATGCAGATAAATTTACATGTTGTGATATTGGATTTTGAACAGTATTAATATATTCTATAATTCTATAATATTCTAAAAGAAAAATCAAATATTAAATAACGTTTTTATTTTTAATATTATTCCAGCAAATTATTTTTATTAATAGCTCAATTAGTCAAATCACTTACTTACGTATAATGAATTTTTATTTTCGATTGCCTTGAATTTTAAATTGATGTGATATATATCAACAAGTGAAACGTAAACGGTACGACTATAGAAAAAGAACTTTTTGATTGAATGATCGGATTCTGACTAAGCCATACTCTCAACGCCACCAACAGCATACCACCGCAAAAATTAATGTAATTAAAAATGGTTTTTAATAAAAATTCTGAAAATTCGTTTTTTATATTTGTCTGAGGGGTGATAAAAAAACGAACAAATATAAATCGAAAGAAAAAAATAATATTATTCGATTAGCATGCCCAAAAACTGCATTCAGTCAAATCTTCGTGCAAAGAAAGCAAATTATTTAAGTGTCAATAGTGTGTTAGTATTTTTAATTTCTCGGTAACCGATAGAAGGGAAAATATTTTAAAGCGCTAATTGTAAATAGCAATGAAAGATCTTGGTGTTGATAATTTTTTTTTTAATTATTTTTAATTTTAAGTGTTAATTCAATAGAGCTCACGGATATACCGCGCAGCGTCCAAGTGATGCGCATGACCAACACCACGATAAAGTCTCGGACACGTAAAAACGACGCAGTCACATTCGGAGTCAGATACTGAGTTGATTCAGCAGAAGTAGTTCCGTTATCGTCCGTTTAATAATAATAATGCATGTGTTCAGTGAATAAATTTATCTTTCTTCGCTTAAACGTGGATCGATTATTTCTGCTTCAATACTCATCCTCGATCGTAATTTCCGACATATATATATATATATATATATTTACTTATTTATTTGTTTATTTATATTATATAGAGGCGGCAGAGTCGCATCTGAAGAAGAGAAAGTCGGCCGAATCTCGTCTCGATCTCGTTGGTCGGAATCACGAGCTGAATAAACGTAACACGACGTACAGGATCTAACCCCTGTGGATATAATGTTATTAAATATCAAAGTGGTGACTTCTTTATAAATGAGAATATTGTAGCTAACCGACCAAGAATGACGCTGTTCAGAAGTGAGTCGAGATGATTGCGTTCCATTCGAAAAATTATAAACGTCAATAAATTTGTAACACGCTTGATTTGACAACTTCCAGGTAGAATAATAAAATTATTTAAATTGAGAAATTTAAGTACTGCCCCTCAAGCAGTTCGAGTTCAAGAAGAATTAACTCAAACGTTTAAAACTACCGAAAACAATCCTGTTAATCATGATGAACGACATTTGGGCAAATTTTACACTATCCCATCGGGTCAACTTAAAACTATTTTTTCTCATGGTTTAACGAATGAATATAAAAAAATAATAACAACTTTCACCGAAGCGTGCCTTATGGTGAGAAAACCAGCACTTGACATATTTGAATGCTTAGCGCAAACCAATTATAAGAAACCTGTAAATAAATATGTCATATGTATCCTTGACGTAAAACTTTCAAAAAACATTTCAAATATAATTTAATTGCATACGGTAGACCTTAACTAATTGATTAGATGGTGGTTATGGATGTGGCAAATCGTCGACTCTGCTCCATGTTATACATCATGGTTACTGTTCGAATAAGATAATTGTACATATACCTTGGGGTAAGTTTTACGCATAGAAAAGATGGATATCGATAAATCTTGTTAGATAATTAAATTCTTATTACTGATATTTATCGTATTTTTTTTAGCCACTCATTGGTACCTAGGACCTAAAGAAGTTGCAAATTCGACAACTAAAGATGGTCTCGTAGATTTACCTATCGACGCAGCAGCATGGCTGGTTAATTTTAAAAAACAGAATGCTGACGTACTCGCTCGAACGGATGTAAGTTTGAAATTTAATTCTATGACTTGAAAATTTCATCATAGTTTTTTAATTTGTAGTTAAAATTATCAAAATCATACGAATGGAGTCCTGAAGATACTTCTCTGAAAAATTCACCCTTATTGGACACGATTGGACTTGGAATTGAAAGAATCAAGTATGCCTGCGATATCGTTGATGCTTTAATGACTGAACTCAAGGAAGCTTGTATCGCTGGAAAATGCAAAGTCTTAGTGGCAATTGATGGTTTCAATGCTTTGTTTGCCGATACCACGAGAGTAAAAGATGAACAGAAACAAATGGTTCCGTCTGCTAGGATATCTTTGACGCGATCATTTCTCAATATTACCAAGTCCGATTGGTGCAATGGTGAAGTCGTAGTTGTGGTTGACGAAAAGGCTACTGAGGTATCTCGGTTGAACTCGGTTGAGTTATCGCTCGATAATTTTGATGCTACTTTTAGAATATGATTAAACTTTTGTAATTCTTTGTTACGTAGGAAAGGCGTAATTCTCATTTACCTCGGTACTTATTATCGGAAAAAGGATTTGAACACATGGATCCCTTCCTACCGATTGCGGTTGAAAACTACTCTCGAGATGAATTTGATACAGTCATTGAGTATTACAAAAACAGAAAGTGGATTAGAGAACTCACGGCAGATGGGCATAAAGAATTGAAAGTAATCTCCGGTGCTAATCCTCGAAAACTTATGAATTATTGTAAACACTTATAAGTAAGTCACTGTCGGTATAAATTTAACGTCGTGTAAAACAACGTTATGTGGTCTCGCATTCTTTTCGATACGTGCGACTTTTTGTAAATGAAAAATTCAATTTTGCTTTGAAACGTTTTATTTATTCTTTGATAAATACATAAATCACACGAGTCACATATGTTTCTGATGAAACTCTGAATTACAATATATAATCCACCACCTATAAATTGTATTTAAATAACATTCTATACATAAACGATGCGAATGTGTCTCATTTGTTCTTGGGATTAACAGGTTGCAAGATATCCAATACTTTGCCAATATCACCATTTTTCAAAACTAGAAGTTGAGTGAGCCAGCCACCTTCGTTGGTAAATCCCATTTGAATCATGGCATCTACAGCACTCTGTATCTTGGGGTCCGAGTGCCACACGCTATCAAAAATTGTGGGCAAAGACGGATACATGGACAATGCTTCCGGCGTTTCTTGAATAGTCTTTTGCGGACATTGTTAACAATAGTTGTTACGATTTAGTGTTTAATTGGATCATCCCGAGTTATGAAAAGAAGTAACTTACCGCGTTCGATGTAGCGTTAGTAGCAGCTACATTGAAGACAGGAATGTCACTCTTGTCGAGCAAGGTCCAGTCATCTTTAGGGTTTACAGAAGTAGAAGCACATTCGTAAGCAGTAAATGTTGCGAGGCCTTCTTGAGTTGATTGATTATGCTGCATGCTATGAAGAGTGTTTTCCTCGTGAGGAGCCGTTGGATTCGAATTAGCAACAACGTTAGTGTTATTATTTACAGTTTCTTGTTTTACATCTGAGAGGTTAACTACGCCTGGTTGACCAATGGCTGCAACTTCTTTGGTTGCTACGAATTTTTCCTGTGGCTTGGGCTCAGCCTTAACTCGTATTTCAGCAGGTTTCTCTTCGGTTGAAGGTGATAAGTTGCTAGAAGTGCTTGGATGTGGTGAATAACCGCTTGACTTATTATTCTTTTGTTTCTTAAACTCCTCGGCAGCAGGGCATTCCTCTGGCAAATATGCCCAGTCATTAAGATATGTTGTCAAAGTATTCAGCCATGATGGTACCTGGTTGTGATGATAGCTTTGTCCACCGCTATGTCTCCTGTGTTTGTGCGAGTGTTTCTTGCAATCTTCCTCTGTAGAGCCAGTCACAACCTTGACATCAATGGGGCGAAACAGACACTTACCCTTGTGCAATTTTCTTTGCTGAGGTGTAGGGAAACGAATCATGCAATGTTCTGGATGGGAGCCTTTTGCTTCGCACTCGGTGCACAGATCATAGTCTACGCATCTCAAGCATTTATAGCCAAAACCAAAGATATCTTTGTCGCAACCATCGCAAACTATGCCAACGTGCTTCTCTTTATTGGCCGGTACTGTATATGTTGTACCACTGTCTGCTTGGAATGCCGGTTTAGCGTCTTCGTATTCGGAATGTAAAGCAACGTACAATTTGTGAATTGGATCGTTTTTCATTTCCGTCAATGCTATTTGCAATTCTTCGCAACTCGATATCATGATATCGTCATCTTCGGAATCTGCAAGAAAAAAAAAAGTGAGAAACCAACTATGAATTACGTTTGTATTCTTCGTTCTGGCAAAGTGAAAAATACGTGGTTATCGTCGTTTACCTTACCTTTCCAAGTGACGGAAAATCGCCGTCCTCGAAGCTCCGGAAAAATTGTTTGCAACTTCTCGCACAGGTAGGTGTAGTTAGTGACGACAACGGGATCCATTACAAAACGTCGAATTTCAGGCTTCCTCTCCCTATCGACACTATCACGCGTCAAAAAAACTTTGAATTTTATAACTTCAGCCATTGTGGACGCCAAGAACGAACAAAGTTTTCCTGAAGGAGAAAAACTATTAGCTTAAAAAATCCTCGCGAGTCACAAGTGTCTCAGCTAATACGAGGTCAAAGCACTGATGTATAAATCGTGTTTAATATTCTACAACTGGTCGATCTCCAATGTTAAGGCTTCCGTGGGCTGTCTACTTTATACGAGGCAGAAGCACTGACGCATCGATATTTGAAAAAAGGGAAAAAGTGTGCTTTAATTATATTTACGCGTCATTTAATGACAGTCGTGTATATGAGAGCACACTAGCGACCTCTAATGCTATTTATATAACCTACAGTATAGGCATGCGTAATACATTGACTATCTCTCTCTCTTTCTGTGTGTGATGCGTGTATGGGTGTGTAATATATATATATAGTTATGCTGTGTCGTACAAACCCTGCGGTATGTGAATTTTTCATGCGCGGCAAAAAAAAATGTAATTCGTTATATATCTGAACAATGCGATTTGGCGGCTTATATATAGGCTGTCCCTTCAAAATTATTTACTTCGCTCTTTTTTTAATTGTGCAATAATTGTCGTCGTTATAGATGATCGGCCTTTTATTATCTACGCGATTGATTCATCGATCATGTATTATCGAGATATTTTCAAATGAAAATTGATATCGAAGTAGAGTTCCTTATATTGCTGGTGCAATTTAGTAAAGTACAACTAAGTTGATTACAGGATTTATAGGAAAGAAAGTTTTCTAGAGTATTTGACTTAACCTCAAACCGCGACGTAATGTTCTGTCACGCGTATAAAATGCTTCGACGATAAAGCAATATGTATGTTAAACAATCACAGATCAATTTTTTCATCACGCTAAACTCGAATATGCTAAAATAATAACTAATCAATAATCTATTGGATTGATCCTAAAATGAGAGAATTGATTACATTTAATGGAAAGAGCAAACAAAGTTTTTAACCATGACTAGTCCTATGTGCCAGGATAGTGGACCATTTCGAGAATGGGCTCCATTATCAGCTTTGATGCAAAAGATGCCTACGAAAATACAAGTAGGCCTCTTTGGTCAAGATGTAAATTTTACTTGCCTGGATGCCGTAGATGAGTTTCTTGCAATTGGCACAAACCATGGTTTTGTTTACTGGTATAATAGAAAAACTGAAGAACTAGAAACTTTGGGGTGTCCGGTAAGAATAAAAAGAATATTCATATATTTTCTAACTTGCGATTAGAGTTTTGTCGATTACTTCCCGCTTTTGTTTCAGAATCCCAATGGTAATATAACCTGTATTAAAGTTGTATCGACAGTGGACTTTATGTTAGCTGCAGGTACTGATCTAGGTGATGTAATTATTTTTCAAGTTCCGAAGCAAGTATCTAATGTTATACCTGAAGCATTGAAGCCCAAAAAGAAGAAACAGGTCGTTAGCTTTTCTATTTGTAACGTAGTATCGTGATGCGATAGCAGACTTGATGGTATTCGTTGAAATGTTATAGGTAGAAAGATTTAATATTAAAGGACTGCATCAAAATAATGCGATGGCTTTGGAGTGGTCCAAAAATGGTATGAAACTTTTTAGCGGTGATAAAAGTGGATTGGTTGTGATAACTGAAATAGATTTTTACTTGGTTAGTAAGACTAGATGTTACATCGATATAAGCGAGATGTTACTAATGATGCGATCGGCAATCCACTTACCTTTTTCATGTTATTGTCGCAGCATTTGTCCAAGTCAACTGAACTTCTGAATGAACAGTATTCTGTGGTGCAATTGAGTTATCAGAGTGGATTACTATTAGTATCTACGTTATTTCGTACTATTATTGTTGATACACGTCGGGATAATCAAGTAAAACAAATTGGACAAACTGAAAGAAAAGTGTATGTGACCTTTGATTAAATTATGAAATTTTAAATAATTCTAACTGAATACTAAAAGATGTTGCATGTTTTTTAGGCTTGGTAAATTCGGAGCTGTTTTTACAAAAAAAAATATTTTAAGTCAAGAACCAGTGATTTATGCTAGTCGACCGGGACTACGGATTTGGCAAGCAGACAAAAATGGAAATGTATTGAAAACATTGATATTAAAGGTGAATAACAATGAAACAGATGATATAATTAACAACCTTTGCGATTTCTTTACGCAATTATTTTTACACTCAGGATGCAGCGAAAAACGTTCATAACGTGGTCCAGTTGTTAAACCCAGCGCATGGCGATACTAGAATAAGTACTCGGAAAGATCCGTCTTTTAATATTATAATACCTTTGTCTGACGATTTATTAGTTTCGTATAATGAAAATGTAATATATATCGTAAATCCGAATATGATTATGATAACGTCAGTAATATCAGATCTTCGTAGAGTAACGGATGTCGCGTGTACGGAAGACGAAATATTTATTCTTGAAAACGAAAGAAATGTTTTACGGGTAGCGTGTTACCCGGATAGTAATTTTATTAATGGTAAGATACAATAATTTTTTATTGATGCAGTTAACGATATATGACATTTTGTTCCGAAGAAAATGAATTTAAAGACCAACCTACGCTACTAGCGGATTTGAGTAACCCAATAACTCAAGGACTTTTAGAATGGACATCAAAGTTCAAAATAAGGCCAATCGTCCCTGCCATACCATTTGATAAACTAATGCCGACCGAATTGCTACAGTCAACGAGGTACAACTCAACAATTTATTTTCATGCTACCCGTCGTCGTTGCTTATAGAAATAATGACAAAACTGTTTGCAGTATTTTGCCGTCAGTTATCATTGGTACAGATAACACTTCGATAATCAATGCTGAGGAGGCCTTAGAAATCCCGCCCATATTTCCCTTGCAGTTAGATACAAACCTTACGACGTCGATTGATTTCATAAAAAAGAGGGAAAACAACACGATCGACGAAAAAAAGTTGGACGAGCGCAAGAAGATTTTTCAAAAAATTGCCGAGCAAGAATTCGAGGATATCGTGTTTGTGCCACAAAAGAATGGCCGAAAATCTCGGAAAAAAGTGTCAAAACCAAATTACTTGCCGTTAAACGAAAATACTCGTAAAAGCCCATCGAATTCGACAATGAATTATTGTGTAAATGGTGATATGTACGAATCAAATCGATCCCTTGACTACTGTCATAACAATCCCGACGATTTACTTTCACAGTCTCAACAAGACATGGAAACTATTCAAAAAGCCGTTCAAGATAAAGAACAACGCTTATCAACTTACTTGCGGTTAGACTTGTCCGAGTACATGGACAAAAGTATTACCTCGAGTAATAATTATTTATTCGAGAGTGAAAATGATCTCACGTTAACGTCGACTACTTGCGAAAATTCCAAAGAGCACAATAACCCTCCGTATCGTGAAACAACTGAGGAGTGCAAAACGACAATATCGGAGAAAATAGAAGTTAGTGAACAAGCTCATGGGCATATGAGACACGAAGGATCTGATTCAGCTGATAAAAAGTTACTCGAAAGTAATTTTAACGGTACGTTATCTTTTGTAAAACATTAACGAGCAATTTTTTTTAATTCCTAACATAAATAATTTGATCATATTTTAGTTTTATCCAAAGAATTTATAAAATCAACGACAAGTCAAGAAACTGACGACTGGATATTACTCGGTTGAAGAATGTTATTTCAAATTTGCAAATAAAATTAAAGAAAATTAAGTCCTTGCACTTGTATAGATCGATTTGCCAGGAAAAATTTGGTAAACACCCCCGAATATTCTTCCCTTCAACTTTTCATGATAAAATTCACATGTACAAGAAGAGGAGAGGCTACTCCTTGAAATTTTTCAAATCAGTCACTAAAAAAACTATATAGAAGTGGCGCTTCACCCTGCGGTGTTCTTTCAACGACGGTGGCGACGCTGCGTCGCTGTAGCATACAAACGAACTCAACTCACGCACACGGACAATCCCACACAAGCTATGGGTGCTCCTCTCCAATACAGACGTAAATCGTACACAGCAAGCGTATATATAAAACCAAGAAATTCTGAGTGCTGCCAACTTCGAAATTTAAAATGAATTGAAAAGACGTAATTTCTATTACAGTACGTAGCCTCAAAAAATTGTAAATGTAAACACAAAGCCGATTGACGAATTGTTGTAACAAAATGGTTATACGGGATTATATGGGATGTCTCTTATATTATAACAATTCGTCTATACCATATCCATACAGCAATTCGTCAATCGGCTTTATTTTTACATTTACAATTTTATGAGGCTACATACAATAGGAATTATATCTTTTCAATTCATTTTGAATTTCGAGGTTGGCTGCACTCCGAATTTCTTGGTTTTACGCTTGCTGCGTGCGATTTACGCCTGTATTGGAGAGGCACCCTATATACGTCACAGTTCACACAATCATACACTGCAAAAGCTTATTGAGTCTGTATCCGTGTGTATCCGTGTAGGTGAGTGAGCTCGAGGGGACGCGTGTGCGTCAACTCTTTGGGTCGCTAGCACATAAAAATTCATCAGTGTACAGCGAGCGAACGTCTCGGAGCGAGCGTGTGCAGAGAAGGTAGGTGTCGTGTTGAAAACCTATCGAGGCAGCCGTGTATCGTTGTGTCCTGGCAATTAGTGCGTATAAGATAAACAAACGTGGCTGTACGGAGAGAAATGAGAAATGTGGTAATAAACACGCGAGAGCAAGTAAAGCAAGGAGAGAAGGAGCGTCGTCGCGCTGATGAGTGTTAGTGCGGGCGCGATTACGCTGGCCGAAATTAAGGTTAAAACACTAGCCAGCTCTCTCGACAATATGCGCCATCTCTCTCTTTCTGTTTGTCTGTCTATCTCTCTCTCTCTCTCTCTCTCTCTCTCTCTCTCTCTCTCTCTCTCTGTCTGTCTGTCTGTCTGTTTCTCTCTCTCACTCTCTCTTTCTGGTTTGTGGCTAGTACCTCTCTTTCTTTTACTCACTCACGCACTCATTCTTGCGAGTTATGTCTCCGTATGTGCATAACGTATAAGTGCGCGCGCGGAGATATATATGTCCGCGATAGGTTTTTCCGCCTCCGCAAGCGTATATGCTCATCGTCCTTAGTGTACGTGCGCAAACGCGCGCACGCGTGTGTGTATGTATGTGTGTGTGTGTGTGAGAGAGAGAGAGAGATAGATAGATATCATACGCTTACATTCCGCAAGAGAGTATAGACTAAGTATCTCGTGAGACGCTCTCTGTCTTTCTATCCCGGGGAAAAACGCGAGTGTGAGTGCGGTCTGCGTGTGTACGTGCAGTATTTTTCTCTCGGTCCCTCTTCCTCTTTCTCAAAGCGTATATTCTTTGTACCTCTCGCGGGAGGGCAAATTCACGTGAAAGGTTGCGCTCTAACAAAAAGGTGGCCGTGTGTAAGTATGAGTCACACACAGGCACGCCGCGAACTAGCTTGTGAGAGTCAGAAAAAAAATCAGGATTTCCCGTGTATGCGTGTGCCAATGCGTTGTGCTGTACGTTGTCTCTCTCTCTTTCTTTCTCTCTCTCTTTCTCTCTCCCTCCCTCTTTATTCCTCTTTATCTCTCTCTCTCTCTCTCCCTCTCTCTCTCTCTCTCTCTCCTCTCGCTTACTCTAGCAAGGCAAATCGCGCGAGCTGCGATTATTGCGGGAATTCCATCGCTCGTTAGGCGCATTCTATCTGTATATGTGTCGTTGCAGCGCGTGTGTGTTTGTGTACCGAGTCGCGCCTCTGACGTCTACGACGAGAAAAGCAACAACAGCTGTTTCAAGACTCCTCCGGTTGTACGTCGACCTTTGTTCAATTTACAACTCTGACAGCTTCGCCGAGGAGAAGCTTTCGTTTTATTTACGTTTGCTACTCCCTCCTCCTACCCTCCCCCCCCCCATATCTCTTTCTCGGCTATACACAACGCATTCGGTTGGCCATTTCATTTTTGCTCCGCGGGATTTATCGCGTTGTGTGCTGCTACACGGCTGTTTACAAACAAACAACTGAGCTGAGACTCATGAAACGGAGCTGACGTTTCTGACCTACACCTATGTGAACTTTCGTGATCTACTGTACAATTGCGCAGCTGGCACTACTTATCTCTTTCTTTTATGTGGTTTTTTGTTTATAAGCAGCCGTGTGTAGCCATCGAGTCACAGACTCGTTTTGCGAATTGCTCGACTCCGAAATAAGTTATCGGTGATTCATTGAGCATCGTCTTCCTTTGCGTGATACTCGCTCGACGCTTAGGAGTTGCCTACTGTTCTAATCTTTTCCGATGTCTCCGTTTTTCGCTAATGTATAAAACCAACTTTTTTGTATTTTAGATTAACTGACAACAAGGAGGGGTTTGGTCACGATTTCTACACTGCTCCAAAGGAATTTGTACATAATTTATTTGAAGTGAGTATCGAGTGAAAGAGAAAAAAAAAAGAAAAAAAAAGATACCTCTGTTTGTCACATCCTAGATAGGCACCTGTCAGACAAGTTCATAGTAAACAGAAATGTGGTTATGTGTTATGAAAAAAAGAAAGATTCATCTTCTTGTTCCATTTCTGTCTCGGATTAATTGTCATGGATATAAAGTTGTGCTCCAAACCAAGTGAAACGATTGTTGTATATGTTGTTCTCTTTTTCTTTGTTGTGTATTCAGGAATTTAGATCTGTAAAGGTGTAGCTTGTTTGTCTTTCTTTATTGACAAGAACCAAACAACAAACAGAATGTCAGTATTGAATCAGAGCGGAGATGAAGTGGTGGAGTGTCCGCTATGTATGGAACCACTGGAGGTGGATGACCTGAACTTTTTTCCATGTACCTGTGGCTATCAAATTTGCCGTTTCTGCTGGCATAGGATTCGAACGGATGAAAATGGTTTGTGTCCAGCTTGCCGCAAGGCCTACTCTGAAAATCCTGCTGACTTCAAACCTCTTTCCAAGGAAGAGATCTCCAGGTAATGTATTTTTCGACTCAAGATCTCTCTCTCTCTCTGTGAACCTTACTTTGCTCGTCAAAGTTGAATGTAACCGTGAGTGTGACAATTAAGGCTGAAGGCAGAGAAGAGATTGAAAGATCAGCAGAGAAAGCAGCGTGTTACTGAAAATCGTAAACACCTTGCAAATGTCAGAGTAGTGCAGAAAAACCTTGTTTTCGTCGTTGGATTACCAATGAGACTAGCAGATGCCGATGTGAGAGTGGTCCAAAATTTTAATATTATCATGTGACTTTAAACACAGTAAAGTGTATATTAATGGTGTTAATGTGTCGTTTGATAGGTTCTAAAGAAGCACGAGTATTTTGGAAAATTTGGAAAGATACACAAAGTGGTGATTAATCAGAGTACTTCTTATGCAGGTTCTCAGGGTCCTAGTGCGTCAGCCTATGTGACATACCAGGTACATTACCGAAGAGATGAGGCTTGCAAATATTCGAGTAGTGAAATACGCATATTCACATGCAATTTTCTTTTTTAAACAGCGTTCTGAAGATGCATTACGAGCAATAGAAGCAGTGAATAATATAGTTGTGGATGGTCGGACAGTAAAAACATCTTTAGGTACCACAAAGTATTGCTCGCATTTTATGCGAAATCAGAGCTGTCCAAAGCCCGATTGTATGTATTTACATGATCTTGGAGATCAAGAAGCGTCGTTCACTAAGGAGGAAATGCACCAGGGAAAACATCAAGATTACGAAAGGAAACTCGTGCAATCTTTACACATCAATACCACGCAACGGTGGGCGTTATGCTTCAAACCTCCAATTGTCGATTACAGTAATTTAATTTGTTTTTTTTTTTTATTTATGTCGGTTATGTTTTAGGAAGCCAACACCATCACCGCCGGTTACTGGAGGTGGTACGCGAGAAAATGGATCGAATTCACAAGCAAAAGAAGCTTGGCCGTCGTTACAACCAGGTCAAATGAAAGGTTCGGAGGACATGTTTGTTTTTTAATAAATTAACGACGTTGAATAAACGATCGTAAAATGTTACTTTGCAGACCTACCATCAAATTGTAAAGAATCCTCGCCGCCGACGTCACTGCCCAACAATCAAGTAACAAACGAGCAAGAGAAGGTGATGAATAGTACTGCGGCGACAGCATCGACGAGGCAACAGAATAATAATAATAATAAGGGCGAAGGTTCACGAAGAGGAAAATGTAATAGCGAGAGCAAGGCACAGGCGGCTAGAAACAAGCACAAGAATTCGCAGAATAAAGAGAAACACGGTAGTAATACGCGGACAACGTCACGGTCGGAATCAAATGGCAATATCAAGGAGGACGCAGACAAGTCGAGCTCGGCAAGATTGAAAAGTGAGAAAACGAAATTGGCTCAACAAGTGCAAGAGATGAAGATCAACGGAGTAGTCCAGCAAAACGGCGAGTCACAAGTACTTTCGGAGAGTAGCGAGTCAGAGATGCAGAGGGAAGGAAGCACGCCGGCGAGTACGATTTCGAGCTCAGAGGAATCAACCTCAATGTTGTTGCATCCATCGGATCGTTTGTTAGCTGAATCCGCTGAAGAGACCGCTGTCCTAGGTGAGTCTAGATTCGGCATCATTGTTGCCTTCTTGCTACTGGCTGTCGCTCTTTACCTTTCCAAGGAAATGGAATAATCACAACTTTTGTCTCTTCTATGCGAAGGTGCTTCTTTCACACACTTGCTCTTCACGCACGCACACTCTTTAATAATTTTAGAGTTTAGTTCTCTTTGTTTATCGCATCAAGGTTGATAACGATATAAATGATTTTTTTTCTCTTAGCCATTTTACCTCGATGGGTAAGACTCACGCACGCTTTAATTATCAACTAGTCTTTTTTATTTTATTTTGCTTTTACTACTTTTTGTGATAATGTGAGACATTTACCAATAGAGATTTTCCCTTTTGTTTTCGAGCGATTGTATGACTTGTAGAACATTCTTGTGATACACTTTGAATTTTATAAGTTGCCAAATAAAGACATTTTTTTGCAAGTAACTAGTGTTGTGTATTTTTTTTTTTTTTTTTTTTTTTGTTTTTTACATTTTTGTTGTCAAAATTCTATCGCTTTACGTAAAACTATCGTTGAAAAAAAAACAAACGAACATAGAACACGAGCGGTACGCTTCTGTCAATTTAAAGGTTCATCGCCATCAAGTAGGAATTCGTCTATGAGTCAGCAGCATCTACAGCAGCAACCACCCCCAGGCTTACATTCCACGAGTAATAAAAACGGGCCGTCGACGACGACGCAGCAACCGCCACCAACGCCAACAATCAATCATCGCTCGATCTTCGGACAGTCGGATAACAATAGTTTCTTCAGCTCTAATACCTTTCAGAAAATTCCTACGAGCGCAACTGTGTCCAGTACATCGAGCACGCAGCCAGGTAAATTTCTTTTTTGTTGAGCTCGCCGGAGACCAATCATCGTTGGTGAACAACAGGTGAAAATAAAAGAGAAAGTTGTTTGTTTAATCGATTATGCGACTTGCTGCTCTTTCTCCGTCGGTTTTGCAATTCTAAAATGCACTCGTACCATGGCAAGTGAAAAAAAAAGAAACTAAAGAATTGCTAACGAAAGTTTTGAACGTGTGCGTAAGGTCAGACAATTGTCGTACACCGCGGAACAGTGGCGCCTTGTTGTGAATGACTATCTCGCTGGAGCGTTGATTTAGCAGATAAACTCGACGCGAGTGTAAACTACTCTCGATTTTTCGCCCAACGGTGCTACAACAGCTGTTATTTGAATGCAAGTGCATCGCGTAATCCGTTAACATTAGCGAGTTGATATCGTGGATCGTAATATGCGTCGGTAAGTTTACGTGCGATTTCGATCTCTCTTGCACTCTGTTCACGATATTTGCTCTCCTTCGTCTCGCAGCCTTATCTTTCACGAGATGCTCTTTATACTTTATTGGCTAAAACCTTGCCTCTGTCGAAAGTTTGATTTAATTTGACGCTTTCGATTCTACATTTGAACCTTCCAGAACACATATCCATCGCTTATCAAATGTATTCGAGACTAGTTTCGAGGCGAACGCAAAAAGATACGACGAAACGAGCGATAAACGTCGCGACGACCTTTTCATTCATCGCCATACTAATTCCTTGACTTTGCAGCGAGCACAGGGGTCGACTGGACGAATACGGGAATTGCGCCGTTGTCAGACTCGCTGCCCACGGTGCATTCGAGCGAGGACTGGCAGGCAGCATTTGGCTTCCATCAGACGAATAACAACAACAGCAATAACCTTTCGTCGCCAAAGTCGTCGCCGTCGCCAACGCCGCGGATATCCTTCAGTAACGAGGATTTTCTCGATATCGAGGATGTGGCCGGCTTCGCGGAAAACAGCAGCGGCAACAGCATCGCCAACAGTCTGTTGCAAAACGCGCCCACCTCCAAATTCATGGCCGACTTTCAGCATAATCCCCTACAACAGAGGTTATCCATGCAGGTACCAGACTCTCATTTTGTTAACCAGAGCACGATTCACGCTCGTCTGCGATTCGGAATTTTACCACGGTGCATGTGCAGTTTACAGCACTTGCAAAATGTTTATGAAAAATGTTGTGGCAATAATTTTTCTTTTTTCAACGATTGGATAATGGAATCTGAGCAATCGTCAAAAAGACTATTTACTCACAGCTCGTAAAAGCGTTTATCAGCGATTATATTATCTCACTGTAAATTTGCGGAGTTCCGTAGAGCTAAATTCGACGATTGTTTATTGCTTTTACTTAGAAATTTTACCCATGTGACTTTCTTTTTATTTTATTTGTAAGCATAATTGCTAAGGTGTTACCTGGCCAAAGTAATTACTGTAATCATCGGTAACAGTTTATTAGGAAATTTTTGGAATCTTAGTTTGCTCAGTAGTCTTACCCGGAGTGAAAAAAAATTGGTATGTCATGATTTTTTATAATATCTTTCTTATCGAAGATCTTACTGATGATGCGTTAGGAAAGAAAAAACCGTCGCGTAAAAATGTCCTTTCCTGTCGACACAACAGTTGACGATTCACTTTAAAATAACCATATGAAATTGTTACAGACGACACAGAACTCCGATAGCAGTGATCACCTAAAGCAGAACGGACACGCGACACTAAACGAGTTACAAAAGCAGCAGGAGCATCAGCAAAGTACAGCAGAAACGTTGAAAGCGGACGACGACCTAGGCTTCGATCCCTTCCACGAAACGCAAAAAGCACTGGCAGAGTTAATGGAAAACGAGGTGCAAATACAGCAGCAAAGGCTCTTCCAATATCAACAACAGCAGCAGCAACGCGAGAGGGAAGAACAGACGAGGGTTCAACACCAGCAACAGCAGCAACAGCAACAGCAGCAGCAGCAGCAGCAGCAACAGCAACAGCAGCAGCAGCAGCAGCAACAGCAGCAGCAACAGCAGCAGCAGCAGCAACAGCAGCAGCAGCAACAGCAGCAGCAGCAACAGCAGCAGCAGCAGCAGAATCCCGTTGGTCTTGGAACTCATCATTTCACGCCGGTACATAAAGTCCCTTTTTTCGCTGCTCTCTTTGTTATTTGTATAACAATATAGCGGCATTTGGAAAGTTTCTCTTTCTCTAAAGTCAGCTTACCATTAGCTCGATATAATTGAATGGAATTCTATCGTCTCCGTAGTTTTTTTATTTTGAAATAGGCGTGATAACGGATACTTCAATCTAGCTTAATGCTAGCTAATATTATTCGTAACATTGCGGATAATTTAACTCTTGAGTACCCTAACGTAAACGTTGATTTGATTGATTTTGTGTCCAGTAATATTGTAAAGACATGGCCTGAAATACGGTAATTTAATTATAAACTATGAGAAAAATCCTGATAAAATATTTATAATCGATATATTAGAAGCTGAATAATATAGCGGTTAGTTAATTGCATGTTATTTAACGTTTGCAAAAAATTATAAATGAATTACAAAGTCTTTATTGCTTGTGGCTGTTTAAAATCGAATAAACGTCAAGCGTCATTATAAACAAATAAAAAGCGAAATTCCTTTTCCTATCCAGGTCTCACACTTAGCGCACTTGCAGCAAGCACAGCATTTGCAAAACTTGCAGGTCTTACAGCAGCAGCAGCAACAATCGCATTCGCTTCTATCAAGGTTACCACAAACATTGCTCCAACAAAACGGAGGTGCTCAGAGCCCGGTAACCGTAGCAAGTCTAGGACAAAGAAGCAGGGGATTGCCACCACCCGGCTTCCCTAGTTCCACGCCCAACCACATGAACTCCTTCGGACTTGGTATACCACGACCTGCGCCCAACGCCACTAACACTCTCACAGGTGAAATCATCGTGTCGATTGTAAAAAGGTTATTTACAGAAAAAAATGCGTTGACAGCCGTATCAATCATTGTAATCATTCAACAGTCGCACGATTCGAATACATATAATTTAAAAGATTGGTCGCAATACTTTGATTGATTGAATAAAAGTATTGCTAAAAATTTGAGAACCAAAGACATCTTAAGAAACGTGAATTTGGTTGTTTATACACGTAATGATAGCTTGGAAGTTCGCTTTTATTTTACTTTTCTACGAATAACGTCGGCCATCTACGAATTTTACATTCTGACAAAACTAAGAGAATAACCGTGAGATTTTGCAATTACTATAAGACGGTGGTAGCAACTGATTTACCATGCGCGAGAGAAAGACTAACGTCCAGTGTTAAAATTGCTCCGAAATTCGGTTGTGCTTCAAGTGAATAGACGTTATGAATGTTTCTTGTATGAATGAACATGTGCTAGCGTAGTTTGAGACTCACTGGTTGAAATAAATCGAAAGAAATGGTGAACGCTGTCTCGCGAGACAGCGCTCACTGTCTCGAGAGTGTGCTGCCAATTGAGCGTCCTTGAGTTAAGGTACGAAAATAATAAGAGGTCATCCGATTAAAATATGTTGACCGTGTGAATTGGTCTTTTGCAGATTTACTTACTGGTAGTAAAATATTACCATTCGTGACTCATTCGTCCGGGGTCTTGTTCACCGGTGGCCAGCAGGCTTCGCAACAGACGTCGTTTCTCCAGAACCAAAACCTCCTCCTTAGCTCTCAAGGTTATTATTTCTCTTTTGCCCTCTCCGTCTGTCTCTCATTTTCCGAGGTGCGACGCCTTTTCTTTTTTTTTATTTTTACTTTGCAATTACAACAAACGATTGATTCATTCAGCATATTGCCGAATCAACCGTGCACTTATAATTTACACTTTGAAGTCTTATGATTTACACATTGACGTTTTCCAATACGCTTTGCATCTTCGATCAAATGCAAGTAGAGCGAGACTTTCAGATTGACGCTTTCACATTTATGAATAGCAATTGTTTGCGTATTGATTGAAGCATTCCGCAGCGTGATACAGCAAACTTTAAACTGATGACTATTTACACAGGTGTTGGCAAGTGCGCTAGCGATGCAATTTTCGCATTGAAAGATTGGTGCGACATGAGTTCCCAGCAACAACAGCAGCAACAATTCCATCATCAAGCACTATATCAGAAAAGCGGTTGGAACAACTTCGGCTCGATCTCGGACTTGAACCCGGTCGATCCTGCCATTGTGAGTTCCCGGCTACTTCCATTCCAGAGCACCACGAGCACATGGCAATTCCCTCACGCGCACCCCTCACATACCCAGCAGGTACTGCCTACTTTTTTCTATCCACACTCCTCTGTCAGGTCATTCTGCACTTCTCTGAGTTAAGAGCAATTTTTTTCAAGGTCGATCCTTTTCAGGAGCAGAGTACACCCGCGGCGCAACACTGGGCGATGCAACCACCACCGGGCTTTGCTGCTTCGTCGCCTAGTGTCCCTCTCAACGTCCAACAGTCCAGTGCAGCTGTTCCAACGCACACTAAGTTCATTGCGGCGGGATCGGAAATCGAAAGTAAGTGTTTGCGTCGTGTTTTATCTCTATCGCGGTATTACGGTGAAAAATGCTGTTTTGTTGTTTTTTTCTCTTTGTGATTTCGAAATAAGCTCGTTTTGCAGTTTTGAGTTTCTTGTCCTTTCATTGTTGTTAAATTCAGCTAGAATTACATTCTAAAATTCAAGTACATTCACGCAGACGCAGACACACGCAGACGCGTAGATAGTATAATTTTGATAACGACTTTTATTTCGACTACTATTTATCAGTAATACTACGTTATATCGTTTTCGGCCCATTCTCGAAATGCCACTGTAAAGAAGCACATTACATTTCTCGACTGTTAGATGGTGGTTAATATTAGCTTCCTGTTTCATCTTTTGTTAAATTCTAACGTGCTATTTTTCCTTTACAGACATATAGATGTGTCGAATATCGATGGGAAAAAGTACTAGCACGGCGAAGAGTGCAGCTTTTTGATATAAGAAAATGAATAAAGTATAAATATGACGAAAAAAAGTCTGGAAAGCAGCAAAAAGAAGTATAACTCAATAGCGTACGTTTTCCCTGACTTGTGTCTATGTCTATCCCCCCATTCCGTACTATTTTATTCGCATTCAATGAATATTTAATATTTACTGAAAAAAGAGAATATATGAGTTAATCGATAAAATAGCTTTTTACTTTGACTTATTGTTTTTTTTTTTTTTTTTTTTTTTTTTTTTTTTTTTTTTTTTTTTTTTTTTTCACATCTACATTAACCGTATTATCATCCATACTTACACCATTCTTTCAACATTTTTTCATGGTAAATTTCTAGAAGTAGTTTTGAATGATCAGTGTCAAATTTATTAGTCAATGTATACCACTACTATTACTCATACTTTAAACAATGTGCTGTTAGTTATTATTTCTTGTAAAGATTACTCAGTTCGTCATTTCAATCTCCCAAAAGAGTTGGTGATTTCAAAGGGGACCGCAAATGTGTTATATGTTACTCGAATCGTACTAGTACTTGTCAAATCAGATGGTCTGTAACATCGAACAAAGAGAGCATACAGATTAGTATAATTCACAAATTGATTCACACTCGGGACGATGTACCACTGCGTACATGGCACAGAAACGCCCATGCTTTACCAAGCTGGGCGTTGTAACGCGTATATATATATATATATTTTTTTTTTAATATTCGTATTTTTTATGGTTTGTAAAGACGAAAATTTGTTCTAAACAGAAAAATTGTTTCAACATTTTTTTGATAATTTGTTGTTACGTGAATTTCTTCGATTGTAAAAATTGTAAAGTTCCTGAATACTTGCAAAAAAAGTCATGTCATTGTATTAATAGAAAATATTTGTGAATTTGTATATATTATGTCACAAACCAAAAAATGAAAAAAATGCCAATCTCAAATTCAATTTCTTTAATCTTAGAAAATTTCATAAAATCTGATGTCTTTGGAAAGAATTTAATGTGAGTGCAAGAGATATGACTTGGCAATTTTATTGTATATCTCAGGTATCTTATATTTTATTGGGTAATGGTTATACTTATGCATACTGAAATATACATAATAATGAAAACAACTCGACGACCACATGAATGTGTGCAACGTGTGAGAAAATGTTTTTACACGAATGATGATGTCAACCATGTAAAAGCTGCTGACGGTACCAGCCGCTCATTCCATCTAAAACTCTACGAGTTTTTCTAAGTTGTCTATAATTTTAACGATCAAACAAAAGAAAACATTTTCTGATCGTAAATTTTGCACGAAAGACCAAATACTGCGCCAGAAGCTATCGAAGGGATTTCGCGAGGATGTATTTGACGATGACCTGAGATTTATATTTACTATACAAAGCACGTGGTACTCGTGACTATATACACACCGTAACATCTCAGATTGACGAGGGTTTCGAATGTTTTTCGACTAAACATTTTATAAATAAAACAGAAACAAAACACTGATGATTATACGTACTCGATGAAAGAGAAGTTGAACGCAGACTTACAAAGATTGGCACAAATGCCTTTAGTCGTACTAAGAAAATTAAGAGTTATATTGCACTTGTTGACGCGTACGAAGCAAGAAACAAAACTATAAATCAAGAAATAAAATACAACCATCAAGAACGACTGTCGTGGACTTAAGGACGTTGGAATTAGCGATGAATTTATTACTTACTCCTCTGTGTGAAAGTTTTAATTGAATGAGTTTTATTGACGATTTACGTCGTGAAAGTTCGACGTGCTGCGAACAATGAAGTAATATATTGATGATTACTTTCGAGAGAAAGAACCGACTATTTATTTGTACATCGGGCACGAGTAATGAGCCCGATGAAGAAAGTAGGATACAGACGTGAGAGAAAGAAAGATAAAGCGAAAAAGATTGAGGTACATAATGAACATATAATTATATTATACATAAAATTGAGCTAAGGTAATCGAAATATATATATAATATGCGAAATGAAATATGAAAAATTCTAGTGATTTTTCCACCTTGTACATATCCCACTTTATTTCAGATTTTGGATTAGAATATAATTTCTACTTTTATATTTTATTCATTCTATCATTTATAATTTAAATTCTTGAATATATTTTTTTTGCTCACACTGTTTTATTACCAAATCGAAAATTTCACTTAACAATGATAAAAAAACAATAATTTAACGAAAGTGTCACGATTTATTCAGTCCTTAAATATATTATACTTACATATATACTTGTACAGTACATAAAACTCAACAGTATCATATAGTTTGGCAATTGGCCCAAACTCCAACTATCCATTTCATCCTTTCTTAGCGATATCAAAGCTTATGAATACCAAATGTCTTTTATTTACATTTATGTGGTTTTTTTTTCTTTATTCAAAAGTATAAAAATGTACTTCAGTACGCGAAATATAATCTAGATGTTTAATATTTAAATGCATTTTTTGTTAGAGTTAGAAAATTATTGCATTTTCTAAAATTTTAATAAATAAATTTTAATAAAAATATTTTTATAATTATAAACTACTTATAGTAAAACGTCTTATTGCTTTTAAGAACTTGAAAATTTAGCAAAGCTAGTGATGAAAATTATTATTAAAAAAAAATGATGACTAATGACGATTCATAAAATATTTACTTTCCTAAAATTAACAATTTCCTAATAACTTGTTCGATAAATTATGAATATAATAAATCCTATACATTTTTAACGTGAAAAGTAAATAATAATTAGCAATACACTTTTTTCAGTTGATTGAAAAATTATCTTCATCATTACTATCTTCGTTCTCTTCATCATCCAAATCTGTTTGATTATTTTCGTGACCTGAAATGCTTAATTGCTTGTTTTCCTCTGATAATTTCTTGGATCTTAAATTGCTTCTTGTCAAACCCCAGAAAGATGAAGGTCTCAAATGTTTATCTTGGGCTCTTGTGAACAACCAGCCCATGTGTATTTTGCAGCCTTCGCATGAAGCTATGGTCCATGCATAACTGAAATTGAAAATCTTTTCAATAATATTTTAACCGGGCACACAATATTTATTTTTAAAAACAAAACTACCCAGGGAACCAGCTGTAATGAGTTGAAGCGAGGTTACTATTCAGTTCTAAATTTTCAGCTTGACGCAGAGTAACTGTATCATGAAGAAATCCAGCTGAATTACAAAACGTATTTTGTGGACCCTCTTTACTCATTGGGAATATATTAGACTGCTTTCCAATTTGTCTGTCGCATCTGATACACACAAGAATCCGATCCTAAAATGAAGATTGGCATCATCACATAAATACATAAACTTTATTTTCGACACTCCGTGCGGAAAGTAGGTTTTTCCCGCATGCTTGGCAAAAAACGTGTGTTGAAAATCGCACTTTCCACACGTCGTATCAAAAAATACGGTACGGCACATGTTCGGGAAAGTTCTCGCTTCGCTCGGGCGTAAACGCTACACGAGACTAGAATCTACTTTCCCGCACTTGCATCGTAATGTACTATTCTTTTCAATTCAAAAAATTACAAACTTCAATCAAATAATTCAATTCCCACTGCAATCTTGATATAGCACAGTCGTATTTCAATAACATTAGTCTATCACTGTCACTTAGTGGTAGGTTTTGAGCAACCCAGTAAGATAAATCTACAGGATCAGTTGGTATACAACGAACTTCTATAAATTAATAAAAGCAAGTAAGTTACAAATAGACAGATAACTCATAAGGCAATCAAAGGTAGTAACGTACTTGTTTCAATAAACTGTAATTGTTCTCGAATTTTACGTGACAATCTATTAGGATCGTATTGTCTATAAACCCATGAAGGCCATTGAGTTACCACTGATTCCAACATTTCCAATTTATTTTGTTTTACCAGTTCTTGTTCATTTGTTGGCTTCACTCTGTAACAATCTAAGCAAGCTAGTCTTTGATCTGAAAATGGATGTGGCAAATTGATTTCTGGTAAAATTTTTACATTGGCTGATATTTTGTTGTATCCCTTGATAACAAAAAAGATTTATTTAAATAATGATTTATATCCTATATTTAATTATTATGAAACTTAGACTTTTACCTCCATTAATTTGAGAATTCGAAACCTTTGTCGTCCTTTAGCTTTCAAGCGAAAACCTTCCCTTGAAGTTCCGGACAAATATTCATAAATGTCTGCAGTTGTACCAATGCTTACTGTCTTATCGTCTTGTGCGCAAACAACACCGAATGTACGATTGTACTGTAAACAATCATTTAGCATGTTAATGACATAAGTTTGATATACCGCCATGGGCAGAGTTTGACCAGGAAACAGAACAATTGATGGCTTTACAACCAAGGGTAGATTTATGTATATTCCTTCGTCTAAAAATATTCGCCCTCTCAATTCTTCCAGATTTGTTCCCAAATACTGTAAATGAAATCCATAAATAATAATATATCACTTTAGTATATGAATTTGATTTGTGAAATACATCGTATTAACTTACGGAATGCGATGCAGGCAAATTTAAGTCAAATTCATGAATTCGTGATGTAGATGACAGTTGACCGGCATAATTAGGAGTCAAATTATCAATAGGGTCTGTCCTATCACCAATACTGACAATATTTTCTGCAGCTGTTTCTATAAAAAATTGAAATTTTAGTGTATTTTTTCACTTGCAAGTTTATGTGATATCGTAGTAGCATCAACTACTTCGTATTAGAAAATATATTCTTATACAGGAAACAAAGCAAAATTCGCAGTATGCAAACTAATCCGTCTTGGTCTATATACGTTTGCTATGAGCTTAAGAATAGAAATCAGTTTGTCGCAGTTGATTGAAAAAACTAACCTAAGAGTTTCGTAACGGCATGTTAAATGCATGATAGTTTCAAAGAAAGTCAAGGCACCTGAATCATTAGCGTCATTAGAACTTGTGGATTCGGCGTCATTTTCATTAGCAGCATTCGCCTCCTCATTCATGTTTTATAGACGTTTTTTCCGTTGATATATCTGTTTGATCTATATGATCCGTGGAAATAAAGTTTTCGTAAAACAAAAATGTTCGCGCTATAATCGACACACTGATATGCAAGTTTTGTTAATGACTACACAAGGATCACTTTATTTAAAGCTCTCTCTTCTCTCTGGTTTCCGCAAGGACGTATATTTTGGTGATACATACATACATACACAAAGCGTCTCTCTCTCTCTCTCTCTCTCTCTCTCTCTCTCTCTCTCTCTCTCTCTCTCTCTCTCGCTCGCTCGCTCCCACCCTTTATACTGTTGTCGTACAGATTTTGAGCTAATCAACCGCGAGATGCAGTTTTACGCGCGAAAGTCAAAAATAAGGAACAGTTTTCGAATTGCATTTGAAAGAAATCCATCGCACAACGTATTGTGACCGAATCTACTATGTACATAAAAAAAATGATTTGATCGCATCACTCGGTATAGAGAAGCGTGAAATGGATGAGAAAGAGCAAGCAGGGAAGAGAAATCAGGTAAAGCACTAAGCCTATTGATCAATTGGATCGCTGCGAAATTGTTGGTATTATTCTTTCGTTTAGGTGTAGGAAATGCGTGGCTTTTGATAGTTTACGCACGATTTACGAACGATTGCACAATCGCCCTCTTTATAAGCGACGTTGCTGTTGATTTCCCAGCGACCAAGTAGTGCGAGTCAAGAGCTAGCGAGACGCCACCGCGCATTAATCCCAACAGCTCTAATCGCTCACTTTAGCTGGAAAATGATTGTCGAAATAGGTCGAAGCTTATCGACGCTCCCGAATCCAATAGCCCGACCTGGCGAACGGAAAAAATTTTCGACGCAAGAGCCATAACTCGTATTTTTTTACCTCGGGAAAGAAGGAAAATCAAAGTCTCGCGTTATCTCATTGTGATACATCGGCTCAATTAATGCCGCGCGATCGTCAAATCCCACTACGCTACCGCAGCGTCAGTTCGGACAATCCGCGACGACCTCAAAAGCACGCCACTCTTTCGAGTCATCCGTCGGGACGAAGGATTTTATATTTATTTGGCGTTGCTGACCAGCCGTGTTCACATTTCGTCTTGATCGATGACAATAGTGCATATCGATCTTTCTTTACGGCAATCGTACTTCCGCCAAAACGGGCGTTTCAACCAATCAGTATGGAAATTTCGGCTATGGCAAACGCCAGATTGGTCGAATAATCAAGCGCTAAATATAATATCCAGCAAATAACGCGAAATCGATGATTGGTTTGATCAGTACATAATGATGAAACAATGCTTGCTTATTACACATGTGGCGATGTTATACGGATCTGAATTTTCAGATAAAAGCCTCGTATCGTTCGGCGTCGTTTTGAACACAATGCCTCTTTCAACCGTACCATGAATTATAGTCTACGAGAAAGTAGGCTATAATTCAATGAAAGTAGGAGGGTACATGTTTTTACATTCGACCCGAAAATATACATTTTTGCTCGTTTATTTCGGTGCGATAACGCATGATGAAACTTTTACGCTTCCACGATCATGGCCTCTCGCAATTGCATATTTAACGATATTTTAAGACATACATCGACGTTCACCGTCGCTTTCCAAAAGTTAAAAAATAGAAGAAGCACGATAAGAAGACTTATCGGTGTTACCTACGGGCAAAGCTAGAAAGGACGCACGTATATCAGTTAGTTAGCGCCGATCTTCTCTTCCGCGTGCGATTTGGAGGTTTTAATGTTGTTGCTCGTCTTGTCGAGCGAGACCATTGCCGTCAATTACAAGCTCGCGCTCAACGCTCGACCACACGACGAAAGAAAATACGTACCCTTCTGTGAAAAAAATACGAAGCGTGAGCGCGGTAATCGAGCAAAGGCGGCACGCGAAGACCGCGCAGCGACAGCCTCTCTCTCTGCCTCTCTGTCGGCGGGGCAGAGGAGCGCAGTGGTCAAGGATGCGAGCGGTAGCTTTAAAGTGGCACTCGGCAGTGGCGCAGTCGCGACTCGAGCGCGAAAGATGAGCGTCGGCCGCGCGCTATAGGCGTCTGCGCTTGGAGATGGACGAGCAACGCAACAAGAGGGTCCGCTGCTGGTCGGCAACGGCGAGCCAGCGCGATAGCGGCTCGGAGTGCGTGCCACTGCTGTCGTCGGGCTGCTCGCGCGCCGTCGGCGAGCCGGACTCCAGGTCGCCAACGCGCTCTGACTTTGCTCGCAGGCCAAGCTGCGCCGTCGTCGGACACTACAGCGCGATCTCGGCCACAGCGTCGCCGTCGCCTGCCCGCGAGGCGCTGCCCGGAGCTCATCTACCTGCGCGCCTCGAGCACGCTGCCCAGCAGCGCTGCCAAGTCCGCGAGGCCCAGCTGGCATTGTCGCGCTTCTTGCTCGCGGAGCGCTCCGGCCGGTCGGCTGCTCGCACGAACGTGCCCGGACAGCTTTTAGAAGCCGAGGCGGCGCGGACGGCCAAGGCCTGCCTTCTCGACGGCTTCTTCGGCGACTCGTTGCCGGCGCTGCCGAGCATCATCGCCGAGGACGTCAAGCCGAAGCAAAGCTCCCTAGTCACGATGTAAGTTCGCCCGAGTGGCTCGACGACGCGCGAGCGCAGCGCGTCTGACGCGGACGTCGTTATCTCGCGCGCAAAACTTTTGGCGACCTTCTCGATAACGACTCTCTGACTTGCGTCTTCATCGCGCGATTCCGTTTGCGAGGGGAAAGTGGTCGGCTTTGACGGAGAGAAAGAGCTTATCGCTTGCACGTGGAAAGAAAGAATGCTGCAATGCCGCAATGCTGCTCGCCACCCCGTGCACGATAATATCGGCGCTCGTGAAAGTCTGCCATTGTAACGCTTAATGAGGGTCATTAATTTGCGCTGCTGCAATCGCCTCGGTTTTCGTCGCGGAAAGTTCCTCGAAGCGCGAGCCGATTCTCCCTTGCGGGCAACTCTTTTGAGAAAACACGAAACACTCGCAGCTTCTCGGTGTGGAACACGATTCTCGGCTCGTCGATGCTGACGATGCCTTGGGGCATCCACATGGCCGGCTTTCTGCCCGCGATAGCGCTTATTCTGGCGATGAGTGGTCTCTGCCTCTTCACCGCTTACAAGCTGCTCCAAATTCACAAGTACCACGGTGAGTGGCTCCATCGGTGAGATCTGCATCGATCGCGAGTGGCTGCCATTTTCCATCAGCTCGTCTTCTTGCCTTCCCTGCTTTCTTGCGTCAGGCGGTGGCGAGAGGATCGAGGTGATGGAGCTGAGCAAGTACTTCCTCGGCTCGTGGGCCGAGCACTTGGCCAACGTCTTCAGCATCAGCGTTCTGCTGGGCGCCAGCGTCGCTTACTGGATCCTCATGTCTAACTTCCTCTACAATTCGGTGAATTTCCTTTACGGTACGACTCTGGCATGTCCTCGCTACTAGCGGAAAGCGCGCGCGGGCTGTTGTTTCACACGCGCGACTCGTCTTTGCAGACACGTTCGCCCACGCGCCTGTGGCAGCGCTGCCCTACAACGAAAGCCGCGCAGAGCGTAAGTTGCACCGTTGGCCATCAGTGCGAGCGCCGTTAGTAGCTTCTTGAAAACCTCGCTCGCTCTTCTTGCAGTGCTCTGCCCGAGGGAGGAGGCGGCGAACGGCACGATCAACTTGGACAACTCGTACGACAGCTTGGGACCGGCCTGGGACCTCTACCGAACAGTGCCCATCTTCTTGGGCTTTCTGGTCTTTCCCATTCTCAATTTCAACACCACCACCTTCTTTACCAAGTTCAACTCTCTAGGTAAGCGGCGGCCTGCCCGGATAAGCCGCAGATTCCTATATCGCCAGCCCTTTCCGCTTTTCTCGCAGGCACGGTCTCAATAGTCTACCTGCTGGCATTCGTGGTCGTCAAGTCGTCCTCGTGGGGCCTCAACATGAACAAGGCGTCCTGGACGGACAGCTGGGTGCTGCGCTCCACCTTTCCGGCCCTCACCGGCATGCTGTCTCTGTCCTTCTTCATCCACAACATCATCATCACCATCATGCAGAGCAATCGCGATCAGCGCAAAAATGTATGCGTCTCCGCGCCTTTCCTACTCGACTCCACGGAAGAGCAACGATCGAATTGTGCTTGCAGGGACGCGACCTGACGATAGCCTACGTTTTAGTGACCAGCACCTACATCGTCGTGGGGATCGTCTTCTACGTGTGCTTCCCACTGGCCAAAAGGTGCATCGAGGACAACCTGCTCAACAACTTCCAGAAGAGCGACGGTCTGACAGTGGGCGCTCGGGTGTTGCTGCTCTTCCAGCTGTTCACAGTTTACCCGCTAATAGCCTTCATGCTAAGGAAGCAGCTACTAGCCTCGTTCGTCAAGTCGCGCGAGTGCCGCCAGAGCGCCGTGCTCCTTGTCAACCTGCTGATTGTCGCGATCTGCGTGCTATTCGCGCTGTTCCTCCCCCACGTAGGCACTATCGTCAGGTACACTGGTGCCATCAGCGGACTTGTCTATGTGTTCATGTTGCCCAGCCTCCTGCACCTCGTGGTCTCGCGCAGACAAGGTACCATCACCGTTCACCAGGTGTTTTGGCACACTTGCGTCCCTGTCGTCGGCATCGTCAATCTCGTTAGCCAGTTCTTCGTACGAGCCCATTGACGCTTCAATGGTCGACACGCACCTTCCATTTCCACAACGGTTGCCAGCGGGAAAATCTGTCGAGTGATACTTCCTCGTTTTCTCTACTGCCAAGAATTCTTTTACCAATCAATAAGTATAGTTTTATCGTTTTATTTATACAAGTATTATTTATAAAGGAGATTTGTTTCTTTTACAAGAATTTTGTTGTTAGAAATTATCTTATTTATTAATTACATATATGTATATCTAAGACTATCAATAATAATCAATTTGTACAATAAAAAATCTCCTTAGCTAGTCACATTCTGCCTTGTCTTCTACATCTACAAAAGGAGTTTCATAGTACCACACTGTATCCACTCCTTCACCAATCTTATAAATAGGCTTGCAGGATGGAAGCGGAAACCTACATGCTACCACTGCAGTGTTTGGTCCCAGTTCTGCTCTGAATTTTTCTTTTAGCTCGTACATCTATATTTGAATGAAATTATTGTACTCTGATGATTAATCAAACAATTATTCAACTTTAATAACAAAGTTACCATTTCTTCAACTCCAAATATCACAACATTGTTGTACTTGTTGAAGTGATGCTTCCACAGATCTTTTTTGAAGAATGATGTTTTTGATGAAACACCATTTCTATATGCAGATATGTTTGAATACGTTACAAGCCAAGGATTAAGCTCTACTCCATCTGCTTGGAAATCAGCTTTAGCAGCAGCTATGACCTTAATATATCTCTTTTATTGAAATTATACCATCGAACTTTTCATTTACAAAAAGCCACTTACTATCCGTCCATCACCACTTCCAACATCAAGTAAAGTACCTGATCGGCTCTTCAGAGAGAGAGCCTGCAGGATATTTTTTACTTGGTTTGTCGTTGCAGGGACATACGGTAAACATATTCTTCTGAATCCTGGACTGACAAATGGCAAGCAAAGCACACTTATTGTTATTCCAATTCCACCTGTCAGAAAGATAAAATGAAAAACATAACTGGTTTATCCTATTATTGTGCACAGAAAAAGAGTAGAAGAGATCTCAGGCATTAATTAGAATATTTATATGAAAAAAATAAACAAATTTGATCATGTTAACCTGTGATAGAAGCAAGAACAATGCCAAGTTTGGAGGACTTTAATGGAGCTGCAGCATTAACAACCAACAGCACATCAGTCTCCATTGCTACAACAGCACACGAGTTTCACTCATTCAGTAAAAAGTCATGATTCCCTTTCTCGACGAATAAGCACGCGCGAGCGGGACAACACAGTGACAGCAGAAGCAACACTCACCACTTGCTCGTCCGTTATTATTTATTGCCATTACGCTACTAGTTTGCTCCATTGGTTATTATCAGATTTGCTCTCACGATTCACGCGCGAGAGTTTTGTGTAGTGGGTGGCAGCGGCGCTTGCGCACTCGCCTTGAGGTTACTTCGATTGTGGGACGTCAACGGCGTATTGACAATCGTCAGTCAGTGTGTCGCGAGCGAGTGCTAGGAGTGGTTGCTTTCGCTTTATTCCAACAACGTATCTCCCCTTAAAGAGCTTGCGACAACAAATTTGTCGTGTAAATTGTTGTTAAATGAGAGAAAAAAATTATTGACGAACTCGCGCGCGCGAGCGTGTGTGTGTGCGTTCATGCCCAGTGACTCGATTGGAAAATGCAAATTTTCGATCGGTGGCGCGACGAAACCAACTGCTCTCATTTGATCAACGACATGTATCTGAAGATCCTTTAGCAACCGATATGTGAGGCGCGCGCGGTCGGACAAAACTCTTTCTCGCTCTCTCTCTCTCTCTCTCTCTCTCTCTCTCTCTCTCTCTCTCTCTCTCTCTCTCCCTCTCTCTCTCTCCCTCTCTCTCTATATGTGCATATACAAAGCTATCTCTCAACCTGCACTATGGACTACTGCAACAACTTTGACGACGCGTTTCATAATATTGTTTGTCATCCACTTATCATTGTCTTCCAGTAAAAAGTTGTTTCTCGGTTGGCGTGTACGTTGCTCGGTCAGTCGTACGAAGGCAGAGTAGAGAAAGTGCGTGAATAAATTGGTGCGTCATGGATAACATCAGCGAGTTCGACATCAAGCTCGAAAAAGAGGTCTATTACGCTGGCGAGACTATTCGGGGCCACGTGATTTTGCACACTAGCGAGAACTTCAAGCTGAGATGTACGTAAATTCGTCGATCATTCGTGAGCGAAATAATCATTGCACTAATCGCTTGCTTCATTAATCGAGCATGCTACATTCGCTACTTGCTGCTACTGCCGCTGGCGCTGTTTCGATTATACGCTTACCTTTTGATTTGCGCGTATCGCTTCGTTTGCCTAAATGCAAACGCAATCGACGCGCACTCGGTGTTGCACTGTCCGACCGGTGGCGAGCTTTTGCGATTCACTGGCTGGATCCATGCCCGAGTGCGCATGCACTGAGAGCCGCGCGCGTCTGTCACATGCCCACAGCGATGCGGCTGGCGGTGCGCGGCCAGGCGCACGCCGAGTGGAAGGTCCTGGTGAGCGGCGAGCGCAGGAACGTGAAGGATGACCAGTACTTCGTGGACGAGCGCACGGTGGTGTGGGGCCAGGGTAAGAAGGCGCGCGTGGCCGCGTTTGCCCGCGCGCCGGACTCTGACCGAGGAGTTGCGTTGCAGAGTCGTCGGAGGGGCCGATACCAATCCTGCCGCGCGGCAAGCACCAGTTTCCGTTCGCGTTCCAGCTGCCGGAGAGCGCGCTGCCGTGCAGCTTCGAGTCGCGCACCGGCTACATTCGCTACTACGTGAAGGCGACCGTGGACCGGCCGTACGCGAGTCCACCGCAGGGCCTCAAGTACTTCACGCTGCTCGGGCCGCACATCGACTGCATGGACGAGCAGTACCTGGTGAGTGGCGCGGAGCCGGCCGGCCGCGAGAGCGCGCGACTGATGTCTCGGTTGCTGCCGGGCAGAAGCCCGTGCTGGGCAGAGAGGTGCGGACGTCGTGCTGCTTCTGCTGCCGGCGCAACCCCGTGGAGCTGAGCGCGCAGCTAGAGCGCAGCGCGTACGTGTGCGGCGAGAGCATCAAGCTGCGCGCCAGTATCGACAACCGCGGCCTCGAGAAGGCCTGGCTGCACGTCCGGCTCACCCAGGTAGGCCTCCTCGCCGCCGGTCGGCGCGCGCCGAGCACCGCTGCCCGTCTGTCCGCGCGCGCCTGCTTGCAGTACGTGGAGTTCTTCCTGGAGCGCGGCGTGCTGGGCACCAGCCGCGAGATCCAGAAGGTCGTGATGGAGTACAAGGGCGAGCCCGTGCCCTCGGGCTCGGCCGTCAAGTGGGACTCGTCCAGGAAGATGGTGCTGCCCTGCTGCCCGCCCACCCTCGTCGGCGTCTGCCGCCTCATCAAGATCTACTACGTGCTCAAGGTAGGCCCGCCCGAGCCCGCCCGAGCCCGCCCGAGCCCGCCTAACCGTCTGCCGCGACGACGCGCAGGTGAGCGTGCAGCTGGAGAAGTCGGGCGAGGACATGCAGATGCACTTCCCGATCACGGTGGCCACGGTGCCGTTTCGGATACCCAACCTCACGCACCAGCCGCAGATCAGATACGGTGAGCGCGAGGCCGCCGCGGCGGGCCCCGCCTCGACTAACGACGTGCCGCCTGCCTGCGCAGAGACGGCGACCGAGCGCGTGGAGGGCGGCTGCTACGTCGGCCCGGAGTTCCTGTTGGGCCAGGTGTACGACGGCAGCGAGGTGCTCACCTCCCAGCCGCCCCTCGTGCTCTACAGACCGGTCTACGTGTGCATCGCCGCCGAGAAGAAGCCCGCCCCCGCTGCCGGCCAGGCGCAGAGTCGCCCTTAGAGCTGCCCCGCCGCCCATCTTCCTTCTCGACGAGCTGACGTCTCTCGCGCGGAATGGACCGATTCATCGAACGCTCGCACTCGCGCGCCAACCCTTCGCCTGGCCTGGCTGCTCGTCCACGCGCAACAGGTGACAGCTTTACCTTGGCCCTCTCTCTGCCGCACAATTATGCGATACGCTCCGCGTCTCGGCTTCTTCTTGACAGGTCACTCGTATCGCGAACAACGATGGCCCAACGAAGAACACGTGCGGAGTCGATGCTCGACGAGACGCTCGAGGCTTCTTCCGTGACCTGCGTGCGCTGCACCTATCACCTACGCCACTGACTGTCCGACTGGCCGGTTAAGAGCTACTGAACCTATCGGCTGTTTGGTGCTTTTGTCGGAAACGCGTTTTTCTAATCTTTGTCCGAATTTTCCGTATCTGTACTCTCTGTCTTCTGATATCCCGCGACGTATACGCACCACACGCCGCCACGCACTCTTTGCCCATGCAGTTGTTTCCACGACAATATTCGCACACACCTGTACCATTCCCCACGTCAACTTCCGATTATCGAGCATTCTAAGCTATCTGCATTCAGACACGAAGTGAAATCTATCTTTCACCGGTCACAGCAAAGCCTTAGACCACGAGCGCGTGTTTGTATTTTTTCTACCAAGACCAATTTACATTGTAGCCGGAAAAACAATAAAAACTTATAGTCTGATAGCGAGAGCAAAAAAAAAACAAATATAAAGGTCTTCCCAGATGTAGGCAAACAGATGGCCATTTTTCCTTTTCGACGTTCCCGTTAACAACGTAGATAAGTGCCTCTAGTTGACAGACACGTTTCACGAATCAAGCTTTTCTCCTGTAATAACATAAAAACAGCAAGTGCAGATAGGCTGCTGAAGAGAACACTCCAGCAATAAGAGAGAATAAAGTCGATCAATGTCTACGAATTCTTCGTGTTGAAAGGTACAGTGAATAAACAGGTACCCAATCCGACCCACCCCAGTCAATTATGATTGCGTTTACATTTTCGTGTCATTAAAAGAATGACAATGATAAACAATCTGAATAACGTGGTACAGGTGTCAAAGCAACCCAAAGATACATGAAGCATCTTAGTCAAATCCGTTGAAGCATTTAGCACTAGACGTTTAAGAAAGTTGACTGCATAGTTATGCAGATTTTAGACTTGTATAGACTGTAGAAGTGCTTGAATTTTATTACCTAAATATATTCGAAAGGAAAATAAAATTTAGCAGATTATTGAAATTTCAGAACGATTTGCTTGATTTTTTATTTGGGTTCTCTTCTGTACATTGGGTCGCGAAATTAAACATTTTACTTGATGTTTTAATGTGTCAAAACTTTTTCTATAGCAATTGAATAATGTAAACAAACAAAACCAAGAAACGTTGATTGGCTCTTTAAGGTGAAACAGATGTATCAATTTTTAATCAGGGACTGATATAATTTATTGCCAATAAAATTGAATCTTGATTGCCCAATTCATCAATTAATCAAGATCGAAACCAAGTTAGTGTTACGAATTCACGTTTTCAGTTGGAGCTATTAACTTACGTGCACAACCTGACACGTGCTAACTACGCAGGGTCAAGAATCGTTCGTTATATATTGTATAAGACCTTGCATGAAAAACCAAATCGTTAGACTACAAGCACGCTGAATAGAAGATAATACCTATAAAACATAGTTATCGATATTTGAAGTAACTATTCAAGTTGGAACTGTATACTTAATTGCATAAATATTTGAATTTATGTGTGTACGCATATTGGCATACATTCATGAATATAGCAGAATTTCAAACAGCGTAAGTTTTATCTGTTAATCAAGGACAAAAAGACGTTGAAATGTTGTTACCGCTGTTGCTACCTGTATGCCTTTCATCACCTTTGTATTATTAAAAAGTGCGTGTATAATAAATAAATGTTTATACATGAATTGTTTGCTTAATCATTCCGAAATTTCAAGTCAATGTCTATTAGTTAAAACTGAAACGCCAAGGTTCATCAGATAAATGTTGTGTTTGGATTGCGGATACTATTAAAGTATAGTTTCTATGGCTTGAAGGGAGGAATCAAATTGAGTATCCATTATTTATATAAGTAGAAAAACAATTTGTTATATTCATATGTATATATATACACGGACCATTACAGCGTAACTCCAGCTTATTTTCTAGACAATAATGATAAAACCGTATGATAAAGGAATATCGAAGTTTTAGCCTAATGATTTTGCGCTAATCTTTAAAAATGATATGACTTCAATTACTTTTACACATGTTTGCTCAATTTTTTCGCAGAATTACGTTTTTATTTGCTTATCAAACTTCATTAAAGATATTAATAGATTGAACAGTATTGAGTTTATGAAAACATGTAAATGAGGCTTTCCATTTGAATTATTGTAACTTTAATTATGAATTCTTGCTAAAAATGAAAAAAATTATGGTAATTGTATGCAGCACTGAGCTTAACATTAATATTTTAATTAAAAAGTAAGTATTTTGATGATGACAATTAAAAAAAGTTAATAAGCAATTGTTTCAAATAAGAAACCTATCCAATAATTTAGTCGAGAAAAATTGAAGAAACTTAAAATTTTGTGTCATTTGTGCACATGGAATTCATAAATGAAAGTAACACAGTCAGAAAATTAAACACAATTTAACATACAAAACAGTAATTTGAAATTAAGGCCATTTTCATAATCAGTTGTGTTTCTCTTTCGATATTTGCAAACAATAACACAAGGTTAACCAGAATCAATTTTCAACTATTTTTCAAAGTAAAAATGAAATTTCTAAAAAATTACAAATATTTTACATCACTTCCATGCTACTCTGAGTGTTTTCAGTGAAAGATATCGAAGTTGATGGAACATCATCCGTAGTCTCTTCCACGCTCGTCTGTGCATCCATACTCTCAGGAATTGTATTTGTTGGCGAGCTTGAGCTGTCATCCCAATTAATCTTAAATCTAGTCACACGTGGCTTATCAGCTAAAACGTTTCTCTGTACTTTGTCAAATTGTGGTTGTGGAGGAGGATTCTCTCTCAGCTCTGGATCTGCATACTCATTGTTTATAAAGTATCCAACTCTCACAAATTCTTGATTACGGTAAGAACAGGTCAACAGTACTACGGTCACACCCAAAGCATCATTCACAGGAATTCGGCTTGTGTCTGGTGGTTCAGCCTAATTATATAGTAAATAACATGGTTACTTATTTACTCAAATCCAAATCAATACAGCTAAAACAATACTTCAATTTTATTTAAAATTTTACCTGGAACACAAACATGTGTCTTCCTTCTGGGATTGGTCCTACATAGATTGTATCGAGTATTTGATCAAATTCTTCTGTTTCAGCACAGCCAACATAGATCATTTTCCATTCTAAATCTGTAATATAAAACAACAAAATGATTACCAAAGTCATTATTGAGTTTGAAAAAGTTTAGATTAGAGAGAGACAATGAAGATCATGGAAACAATAATTTTTTTTAGTGCAGTAAAGACTCGATACACAAAAGAAAAGGTTATGAAAAAACGACCAACTAACGCGAGTGTCGAAACATCACGCAAAAACGTTAAAAGAGAAATCATAATTATGACGATATACTAACCTTCTTTGAGTTCCTCGATACACTCGAAAGTAATTTCGAACTGAATAGGATTGAGAAAAGGTGAAGGATTATCGAGAACGGTAACGTTTGCCACTTGCACTTTAGCCATGGCTGCTCTCACAGTCCGTTATTGTTCTTGATAGAAATTACTAATCACAGTTTGTCAGTGTACTTTTCCTTTTTCTTAACAGCTACGTGAAAAAAAAAACACTGCACTACACAATTGATGACAAATTCGTTTTGGAAACCGCCTAATATTCTGACCAACGTATATCCGTTGAGGATTACTCCGAAACATTGATCAGAAAAAGCGCGCGAGAATGTGTACCGCCGCGAGGAGCTTTGGCGGCAAGCGAGACTTGTGAATCTGACGCCCAAAAAAATTTTTTAATCATATTTTTGAGTTTTCATGAGCTAAAACGTTTTCTCCCTTTTTCCGGATTATGTCTCCGCTTGAAATTTTATTTCCGGATTTTCCGTTTTTAAGAAAATTGCGAAAAAAAATCTGGCGTTCGTACAGCGCGCAGAATGCATTAAACACTTTTCTCCTGCTTAAAAAGAAATAATATCGATAGCGGATGATAGCTCCTTATTCCCGGATTACGAAACAATTTTCCTTTTGTCGATTTTCTATCCAAAATTGAGGAAAATGTAAAAATTAGTAATATGCGGCAGTTAGTCGATAAAACAGGTCAAACGTTTGCTAATCACCAGATATCCCTATATGTAAGTTCTACATTGCGTAATTATAATAATAAGTAATTTAAATTCTACTCAATTAACCATTCACATTTTATGTACATATACATAAATAATTTTTTCTAAGGTTTTCTATAAGTTTGTCAACATGTCAATTTTATAATTAATATTTTAACTATATAAAATAACATAATTCTGAACAAAGTAGAGAAGAGAACTAGAAAAGTACTAGAGAATCATTGATTAAAATCAATGATTGTTTTTTTCAATTTTAACTAGTCAATTCAATTTTTTTATTACTTTGTTCAGAATTATGTTATTTTATATAGTTAAAATATTTTTAAAATAAGCTATAAGTTTAAAGTTTTTAAACTTATAGCTTAGTTTTATATTTGTTGAATTATTTAATAACGAACTTAATTTTACTTCCATTCTTCTTAACAATATAAAGTAATAATCCATTGTAGCATATTATAAAAATACTTCAATATACAGGTCAGGTTAAAATAAACTATATTTGTATTGTCAAAAATATATAATTTATTTTTCCTTGCTTATGTTACATATACAATATTTATTGATAAACATTGTGAACAATATGTCGTATTATAAAAGATATTAAAAACTATAAAACAATAAGGTTGGATTATTTATATTTTTTTATGCAAATGCCTAATCGTAATCATTATCCACAAAATTAGCAAAATTGTTGCTACGTTGAAACAAATATATTTTTGACAATACAAATATAGTTTATTTTAACCTGACCTGTATATTGAAGTATTTTTATAATATGCTACAATTATGGATTATTACTTTATATTGTTAAGAAGAATGGAAGTAAAATTAAGTTCGTTATTAAATAATTCAACAAATATAAAATTAAGCTATAATTTTTTGATCAATGATTGTTTTTTTCAATTTTAACTAGTCAATTCAATTTTTTTATTACTTTGTTCAGAATTATGTTATTTTATATAGTTAAAATATTAATTATAAAATTGACATGTTGAGAAACTTATAGAAAACCTTAGAAAAAATTATTTATGTATTTGTACATAAAATATGAATGGTTAATTGAGTAGAATTTGAATTACTTATTATTATAATTACGCAATGTAGAACTCATATAGGGATATCTGGTGATTAGCAAACGTTTGACTTGTTTTATCGACTAACTGCCGCATATTACTAATTTTTACATTTTCCTCAATTTTTTATAGAAAATCGACAAAAGGAAAATTGTTTCGTAATCCGGGAATAAGGAGCTATCATCCGCTATCGATATTATTTCTTTTTAAGCAGGAGAAAAATGTTTAATGCATTCTGCGCGCTGTACGAACGCCAGATTTTTTTTCGCAATTTTCTTAAAAACGGAAATAAAATTTCAAGCTGTGACATAATCCGGAAAAAAGGAGAAAACGTTTTAGCTCATGAAAACTCAAAAATATGATTAAAAAATTTTTTTGGGCGTCAGATTCATCGAAACGACCCTAGCAGAAAAAATGATTGATTTAAAAAAAAATATATACCATTAGCTTCGTCTTAATTTGTACCACCCGAAAATTCATTTTTTGGAATTTGTACCCCCCCCCCCCCCCCCCCCCAATTTTGAAAAAAAGCGAAAAAAACGATATACTCCTGGCAGAAAAATGATTGATATCATAAAAGAAAAAAATACCACTAGTTTCATTTTAATTTGTACCATCAGAAAAATGCTGTTTTAATGTACTCTCTCCAAAAATAGAGAAAAAAAATATTTTCGTAGGGTAGATTAGCAATTCAAATTAACGTATTACTGCGCATGCGCGGCGGAAAATCTACCTTCCAGCAGAAAAATATACGATTTAAAAAAAAAAAAAATATATGAATACCTTCTTCTTAATTTGTACCGTCTAAAAAATACATAAAACTAATTTGTATCCTTGTAGAATTTGAATAATACAATGTTTTTTGTGCGACTGTAATACTGATAAATTTTACAGGAAAATCTTTTATTTCTTAAGAAAAACATATATTTCTAGCTTTACCTTAAATTTTACCCACTGAAAATAGTTTTATTTTAATTTTTACACTCTAAAATTTAATTAGACATGTTAATATACAAAATCCTAAATTAACGTGTGTTCTTAAACTCCTACATCCAAAAACAGCTGATTACTCGGATGATAAAGTAGGAAACTCTGATAGGAAAAATATTTATTTCCTATACAACAAAATACACCACCAGCCTTGCCTCAATCAGTACAATTTGAAAAATAGTTATTTTGGTATTTGAACCCCTCGAAAATATTGAGAAAAAAGTTAATTCGTAGTCTAATTCGACGATTCTAATTTCGTGTCTTCCGCGCTGCGGAAAATCTCTTTTCTCGGCGGAAAAATCGTGAAATTTTAATGTATTAGATTATGAATGTCTTCTTCTTAATTTGTACCATCTACGAAATCCAAAAATATAATTTGTACCCCTGTAGAATTTGAATTATACAGCGTTTTTCATAGAAACACAGTAAAATGCAAAAAAATAATAAATTCCCAGATAACACAGCGTGCCGGCACGGTTCGGCACGCGCGTACTCGTCACGGCGTGCCGTCATAATGCAGGCATAGTGCGAGCACGAAAAGCTACGCACGCCGTGCCGTCAGAATGCAGGCATAATGCTGTCACGAAGCGCTGCACGCCGTGCCTTCAGAATGCTGTCATTTTGCCGCCCCGCAAAATATAATTTCAAATGAAAGCATATTGCACGCATTATGAAAGCACGGCGTGCATTGAATTAAAATAAAATAAATTTATATTATTTTGTATTTGAGATGCAATAAACATCTTTTAGTAGTAATTTTGGATATTTTTTATTTATTTATACAATAAATTAATTATACATTTTAAGATATCTCAAAATTTGTATACGCATATATACATGCGCATGATCCAGATCGTCTTTTGTTAATATCGGTTATTCGATTTGCGAAGTCCTCCTATTTGTATTGTGTGGGCTGCAGCGAAATTCTGATTTTAGTTCTCTTCCATATATTTTCAAGGTGAGTTCATTTTTATTTAATATAATTATTATTTATTTAATATTGTAGGAAATACTAGTATTTAATATCGGATAAGAATATATAGCTAGCTATATACCCCTTATATAGCTATATTGATTATCTATGTAGTGCATTTAATTAAAATGTTTTGAATTAGTTTTACTAAAACCTATTCATAATTTGATGAATAATCTTACTAATTTCAATAAAAAATATTTCATCATTCATTTTTATTACAGGAGACAAAATTATGTAGGAAAAATGAAGTTTGCTAGTTTTGATAAGGTTTCAGTGGCTAAAAAAGTAGTTGTTACAACTGAAGAAAATGTAATTGCAGCTTTAAGTGTTAAAATAGGCATTTTTATATTCAAATTTAATAATTTAAATAATATGTTTGTTAGAATAAATTGAAAATTGACATATGTATCTTAATGTCGGACAACTATTATGGATGAGAATACTAGAAAAAGGATATGCTGGTCGCATACAAGCATTCAGTAATGTTACAAGTGGAGAATTGATTTCAGTAAATGGTGTCCCAGCTTTAGTTCGTTATTGCAATTTAGCTATTGGACATATAATAAATGAATGGACATTAGCTGAACAAAATCGAGACAGGTATTATTTTTTCTTATAATTCACTTAATTTATAATTTCAAACTAGTTTTTATTAATCTACTCTTCGACTAATGATAATAGATATGACAACTAATGAGTTTAATGCTACATGAATTTAAATATTTTATAATCCAATAAAAAAGTATTAAAAATCACTTTTATACATATTTAAATTTTGTAATGTCTATTTCAGAATTGATTCTCCATTTATATCATATTCTACAGCAGGGCTTTACAATAGTGAAAGGTTTTACTTTGTCAATTTTTTTGCTGTGCACTATTAAATTTACAATTATAAATTGTATGATACACAGAATTTTTCATAAATCTATATTTTTTCAATATCTTGAAATGAGATATTGATAGAATTTGTTTATGTTACATGTTCGATAACATATGAAATGCATTTTATGTGTATTTTCATAGGCAATTCAATCAAGTAATACTGTTGTAATGTTTGCAGGATTGAAGATGTTTAATGGCACATGGAGGATGGAACCTTACATCACATTCTACTAATTTATAATAATGGTATTGAGGTCACCTCATATCATAGTAAAACTGGAGAAAAATTGAAAAATAAGAAAATTTCTGCACCTTTCATATCTCAAGAAGCCGAGTAAATATTTTATATCAAAATTATCTTAATTATTTTAAAATAGAGTTTTTTATTTATGGAGATAACTTATTACAGGTGTATTTGAGCAGCATAAAATTATGTTTGCTTGAAAGGTGACAACAATTTAGCACTATTGTTTTATATCAATATATTTGAACCTAAATCGGAGTCTCAGTCAATAACAATTAACACTATATTTGGCGCCGGTGCTCAAAGACCTTACAAGTTTACACTATACTTCCAGGAAACATATCTGCAATATCTATTAGAGCTGGCAGTAATAACAGAATGCGCGTGGTCTTATTTGAGAAAAGCCCTAAAATTATTTCACGAGA